CGGGGCTGCCAAGCGGGCCAGGATCTTGGCTGGTGCTGGGTGCCCCTTTGTTGTTGAGTGAGGGTTAGAAGCAAGTGCCTCTTGGAGACCCAGCCTGTCCCCCGGCCGGTGTGGCTCTGCGGGAGGAAGTGTCGCTGATGTTTCTAGTGACTTGGCATTTCCTGACTCTCTCTTTACACAACGCTTTTTTTTTTTTTAAAGTCACTTTCTTGTTTTGCTGCTTTCCGCGCTCACGTTCTCCCTCCCCCGCCCCTTCCCGGAGCGTCGCCGACCTTCGCTGGGGCCGCACACGCTGCCAGCGGCTCTGCTCTCGGCACGTCGCCTGCATGCTAGATTTGGCTTAGCCCTTGGCTGATGATGGAGCTGCCAGGCTGTCAGATGGGATCTCCGGCCGTTGCCTGCCAGGTAACACCTGCACACTGTCTTTCAGGTAGCTGTGGCCCCAGCTTGGATGGCATGCAGGTGGTAGCCCGCTGCCTTGCGTCGGGGGGTTAGTCTGTGCAGGCTAGGTGGGCGTCTGCCTCTGATCTAGCGCTTGCAGATGTTTGAGACATTACAGGAAACAAGCTCTGTGTTTGGGGTGTGAAAAACAAGCTAGTAAATACAACTTCCACTTGCTGTCTCTGCAGTGCTGGGCAAGTCGATCGATCGCTTGTAGCAGGAGGGAGGCTAGCACGTGTCACGTGTGTGAGAGCTTTTACCGGTCCAGTCTTTGGGCCTGATCCAGCCAGGTGCTGGGCACTCCCTTTGAGAGTGCTGTGCCCCTGGCAGGATCAGGCCCTTTTGAGGACAGCGTCTCTTACACCTGCTGGTCCTGCTAGGCTGTCCCGGGGAGAGGAGCCCTGTCATTTGGAGCTAGCCTGGGCTCCTGGCATCTCTTCCTGTGGCGAGCAGCGAGTGTATGAAGAGGTGCTGTGATAGGAAGGAGGATAGACCAGGCATTTGAGGAATATCTAAAGGGTGTATCTAATCCCCTCTTTGCCTTCCTGGGAAAGCCCTGTAGACTCTTACAGGGAGCACTCTGAAAAGCTGTCGGTTGAAACAGAGTGAAATCCTTGCTCTGGGGACTTTCGCCACCCTGCGGAATGATAAGAGTCTGTCACGTTCTAGTGGCGGGTCCAGGAAGTCTACAGAGTGGAGATGAGTGTCTAATATAAAGCTTGTAGGGCTTTTCCATAAGGGTGCAACTTCTCCTCTGCTTCTTCCCTTCCTTTAAGCCCATCCATGGTGGGAAGGAATTGGGGCGTGGAATCTCCGTTTGCTTTCCTGGCAAAGGTTACTTGCGATGGGAGGTGTTGGGAACCTTGGGTGCTACTGAAGCTTAACTAAAGCACTTCTTGCTCCTGGTGTGCTCGGTGGGCAGGAGACAGAGGGACTAAAGACCTGCTTCCTGGCTTCCGGGACACCAGGATTTAGATGGGAGCTAAGGCCCAGCCCATTGGTCTGCCTGCTGCGAACTCCACCCACCCAGACTGGGCATGAAAGCCCTGGCAGGTCTCCTCGCCCCAGAGCTGTGACTGTCAGGAGAGAAGCTGCTACCTCTGCCTGCAATGACTCTGCCTTATCGGCCTATCTCTTCTATAGAACTATGGTGAGTTGAGACAGAAAGAGCGATGGACCGATAGGCAAACTGTTCTCAGGGGAAGAGGCTTAACTGTGGAGCGTCCAGAGGAAATCGGGCTGATCTGGCATCAGATGGCTTTCAAGGCAGCCTGCCACTCAAAGGAGGAGGGAGACCTACACACACATCCTGCGGTGGGGGGCAGAGCTTCTACTAGCGGGGAAAGGAAAAGGGCAGACGATTCTGGGAAGCACTTAGATACCAGGGTGATGGGCACTAGAAGGATGCAGCAGCAAGGGAGTGCAGAAGAAATGGAGGAATGGTCTCTCTGGCTCCCTGGTTTCAGGTGTCCGTCTGTCCCATGGAATGGCTCTTGGGAGAAAGGCTGGACTGCAAAGGGGCTGGTGCGTATGCTGCTGGCTGCTGGTTGTGATTGGCTTCCCTGAATGTGCATGTCTGTCTCTGGATTCTGGCATTAGGTGGGGGGTTCCTGGCTTAGCATGTGGGGCTGAATGTACCATTGCAGCTGGCTAACCCAAGCTGCAGGGCCCATTCTCTGCCCTGCCCTGTGCCGTTCAGATGGCACAAAGGACGCAGAACCCTGCTTGGGGATTTCCCCCAGGGCCTGTGTGGTGTGGGTGGGGAGGGGGAGTGGCTGGTGCACACTGAGCTCTGGCGCTCTCTAGCTGGCACATGGTCCCTTGGGCCCACAGCCAGCTGGCATGAGTTAGAGCAGCCCACTGGCTGGGCTGGGGCTGCCCTCCACACTGAGCCGGGAGGAGCAGCCTCGAGCGGCACTGCAGAGCCTCGCGGGCCGTATGCCGGTCCACGGGCATTGCACTGTGACCCTGGCTTTACAGGCTCCCAGCGTAACCTGAGTTAAGCCAGTGTGGGTCCTTGTCCCGCTAGTCACTGGACCACGCAGAAGTGATTTGAATCGGCCACTGCCTCTGAGCCAGCACGTCTGGTCCTTCCACTCATGCAGTCAGTGGTTCTGGGTTCGGTCCTTGCAGGTGACCCCCGGATTGTCGGGAGAGGACCGATTCCTTCTCCTGCACCCCTGGCCTAACCTGATTGTTCAGTCCCTTTCTTTTGGCTTGTTTGCATGGCAGAGAATAGCGTGGGTCTTTCCTCCCCTCCACCAATAGTGACCTGTGTGACCTTACAGGCAGCTTGTCTGATAAGGAAGCAGGGGAAGGACTTCTGGTCTCTTAGAATGGGCTCTGATTGCTGGAACTGGCTACTCTGCCAGCTTGTACTTTGTTTGTGGCTTTTTGTAAAGCACCAGCTCCTGGAATCCTGGGATTATGCAGCAATCTCCGCTTCTGGGAAAAGTTTCCAGCCTTCGTGGTTGCAGTGTGACCTAAAGGCTCAGGAACTACCAGGCAAAGAAGAAGAACCCAAAAAGTATTAAAAAACCTCAGGAGAGACAAAATGGGTGAGATAATCTCTTTTGTTGGACCAGCTTCTGTTTGGTGAGAGGGAGAAGCTTTCAAGCTTACTCAATGTCAGAGCTGAATACAAGATCGAACATATTCTAAGGTCCATTCACACTGAGTAGTCCCTTACAATATATGTGCCAACTACTTATGCTGAACGATCTATTTGGTCTTGTATTTAGCTGTGACACCCTACGTTTCCTGGACTTGAAGAAGAGCTCTGTGTAGCTCGAAAGCTTGTCTCTCTCTGTCTCACCCACAGAATAAAAGCTTGTCTCGAAAGCTTGTGTGTTTCACCCAATAAAAGAGATGACCTGGCCCACCTTCTCTCTCTCGCCTTGTTTCCTGGCATTCAGTGGGAGACGGTCACCAAGGTGATGGCACAAAGCCTCTCTGACTTCCCTGGACTGTGGTCTCTGCTTTCCCCTTTGGATGGTCAGCTGGTCTCCGGCGTGGTTTGTGATGCAGTACCCTGCAGTGGAATCTGTACTGGCTGTCCTTCGGGAGTTTTGCATGGATGTCTAGAAGTATCTTCCCCGCCCTCGAACAGGGGGCGTGAGTGGGACAATCCTATGAGGATTTTAAGATCATATCACCTTATGGTGGAACCTGAGTTTGCTGCTCCGTTACTGCTTATGTTCTGAGTTGGAGTGAGTTTAATAAACCTTTTATACAGTACCGGTCTGTAAACGTACGTGGTGTTTTACAGAGCATAGATGAGATGTGCAACCTGCCCCGCGGAGCTTGACATCTGGCTAAGACAAACCCAGCATGCAGGAGAAGGGGTACAGACTCAGCCTGCTTCACTCTGCATGCTGTCTGTGCTGCTGAAAGGACGCGGGTTACAAAAGGCAGAGGGCTACCATCTCGTTTTGGGGCTGCTGAGGGCAAAAGGCTATTCAAAAACGTCTGTGTAGTAATAACTGCATTGCACAACTTGTGTGTCATCTGTTTTGAAATCTAGCCTCACGTTCTACGAACTCCGGGCCGCAGCGCTGCTGAGCTGCAGCCCTCTCTGGGGTGAGGGACAGCGACCAACCAGTGCGGGTGTGACACCTCTCTGAGGAGGAGAGGGGAAATTTTAGCCCAGGCTACTGGAGGAAAACTTCTCTGTCAAGCAGACAGGGCCCCTGGAGGGTCAGATCAGTGAGGTGCCCGGTGAAGCTCCTGGAGCTCAGAACCGTGCAGGGCTGGGTCAGCCTTGCTGAGAGTGGCTAGTGGGGATCCAAGACCTGCTGGTGATTGGCTGCTGTGTAATAGGAAAGCTCCCCTCCCGGATGTGTGGCCTCCAAGGGGTGTATCATAGGTGGAGGGGACTGCGATGGGCTGCTGATCATGTGACTTGTCAGCCTATCCAGGCTTGGGTGCCCATCACTCTGGGCTGAGCCCCTTCAAGACAGGTCTCAGGTGGGGCCATTTAAATCATCTAGTCTAACCACTTGTGCATCACAGGCTGTTAAATTTCACCAGTATACCCCTATATTGAGCCCGAAGGCTCCAATTCATGTCAGTCCTTGGGCGACTAAACTCTCAGACAGAGAACAGGAGAGATGGTGGGAACACCGGTGCCCATGAAGTGGCAGGGAGCTGATGAGGTGAGATCTGCCCAGACGCACCTAGCAGGTGAGCTACACCCCATGCTTCAGAGAAGGGTAAAGAAACCCCCAAGGTGTCTGTCAATTTACCTGGGGAGGCAATTCCTTCACACCCCCAAATCTGGCCATCAGTTTGACCCTGACCATGTGACCCTCTTCCATGTACATACGGAATGTGTAGAATTATCATGGATTCTGCAGCGCTATGTACCCTGCACACTCTCATCGATGAAGCTTGAATCTGGAATTGCCTCTGTTTCTAACTTCCCCCGAAGCTTGTGGATATTCAGACTAGACGGTTCTAATTCGGGCCCGTCTCTTCAGCTAACAGCTCTGTGTGTGGGGGTGTACGTTTGGTTTATATTTACTCCTGGCTTCTCACCACGTCCTTGCTTTGTCTTTTAGAAAGACTTGACCTACCTGCAGCAGTGGCTGGAGACGTTTGTCATGAACTTTGAAAAGATCATCGCGGTACAGTCTTTGGACCCGAGGAGGTGAGTCTCTCCCCTCTCTGGACTCTGGGTTGGGGGCTGCTTTGTGGTCACGCTAGTTAGTGCAAACGCTTGGAGGTCACATGGGCAGTTGAAGAACTTGAATTGAATAGAACAGGTTCTCCTGTGAAGCCGGTGCCTTCAGTAGATTTCGCTTGTTTCTCTGCCTAAGGGGTTCACAGATTACTGTCGAATATTTTTCTTTAAACCAGTGTGAATTGAGTGCTGGGCGAATACTGCCAGAACAGCAGCATGTCTGGAGACTCCTTTGTACACCCACAGATAAGGAGAGCCAGTGGCTGAGAAGCGAAGTTAGACAAATTCGGCCTAGTGACAAGTCACACTGTTTTTAGTAGTGAGGGTAACTGACCATTACCGAGGGACACGGAATATTCTCCCTCACCTGTCATTTTTTTAAATAGTCTCTAACTGAACCAGAAGCTAGGGGCTTGATACAGGAAGTGGTGGCTGAAATTCTCTCGCCTGTTATGGTGGAGGTCAAATGAGATGATCCTAATGGTCCCTTCCGGCCCCTAAAATAAAACCATCTGTGAAGAGGAACACCACAAGCCATGGCGGCGCGAGATTCCCCTGTGCTGTCCTCTCAAACGTGCCTTAGCTTTGTTCTAGACTGACCACCACCAGGGGCAGAGGAGGGGCCAGTGCCCATGGCCCATTCGGATTTTAGCTGCTCTCTTGCTGGGAAGGGGGCCAATTAGTGCCACTTGAGGTTAGTATTGTGAAGTGGATGCTCTCCTTCCGGGGCCTGCACTGAGACCCCCATATCTATGGCTGCTCAGCTGCCAGCGTGAAACCAGACAGCAGTGACATTCAGGAGCCACTTCCTCGGGCCGGGTCCAGCACCTTGGAGGTGACTGGCCCAGTAGCTAGTGATCAGTCCCAAGAGCTATCCCTGTCTCGCTACGAATGGCTCGTAATCCTCCTCCGCCTGAGGGTGCAGGCATCACTTCTCCAGGAGGAAGAGCTTCTTGACCTTGCCTCGTGATACTAATGTGGAGGCATCTTTGTGCTCGGTGTATTACCTGGAAGGGAGGTCCCTGCCCCAAGGAGCTTGCAGTAATAGTGAATCTAACAAGGATTCACAGGAATGGATGCTCCTCCTCTGCTCCGTGCTAGCTGCTGTTTCCTGGAAGTGAGGGTCCCACGGTCTCTGCCCAAGGTTTGTTTGTTTCCACGCCCGTTCACCACCATCCATCCCAGGCAGGAGAAGCCTTCTCTCTAGATGGGACATGCAGGAGTGTGAGACTTGACTGCTAACTCGGGAGAAGATCTTTCTGCAGAACAGGACTGAGGATGGGCATCATTGTGTCCTGCGGTGCCCACTACCTATGGGGGACGGTACACCTTGCCAGTGCCCATCACTTGTGGCTTTGGGGCTCTTGAAAACCTCCTCCTGATGCAATTCCACCTAATGCAGAATTTCTCCAGAGGCAGCAGCTAATTACTGAGCTGCTTCTGTGCTGGGGAATAGACGGAATGGGGGCAGCTGGCTGAAAGCGCGAGAGGTTTGCACTTACAACAGTCCCCTGAAATCCCCCGTGCTTCATTGCTCGCATTGTTCGGGAGGGGCAAGGATGTAAATCGTGTGGGTGACTTTCCACTGCAGGACTAGTGGCTAGACGTGATGCAGGCAGCGCTAGCCGTTAAAGCTTTTCTTTCCCTTCTGCGCCTCTGTCCTCCAGTGCTTGCATTGGCAGAGCTGTGTGTTTGTAACTCGGCCCTGACCCGTAGCCCCCCCCCCGAGCAGTCTTGGGCTCTTGCTCTCTCTGGCCCTGGTTATTCCCATGTCTATAGATATGACTAATCATGTAATACTTCGTAAGTGATGATCCAGGAGCTTTGTGCTGGGGAAATGGAGCCCAATCTGGGTGGCTTAAGGCAGAAGGAAAGCCAGGCTCCAAATATCGGCTATATTTAGCAAGTCCCTTTATTGTTGTACAGTAATTGCACTTGGCCCGTCAACGATCAGCTAATCTACACTTAATGCTATTTGCGGATGCTCCTCGGCCGGCATTACGCACAAGTGGAACACGCCTATGGTTGTGCATTGTGAAATATTTCACAATGCATTCATTAAAACCTGTAATCTCATTGGGCTACCTCGGTGTAACAAAAGGAAGAATTGGATTTAGGGCGTGCCAGGCTCAGGAATGGTGGGGAGGAGGTTTCGCTAGCAGTCTTCGGCATCAGTATGTAGCTGAGTTCGTTGTTGACGCTACCATTACTCCCTGCTCTGTGTTGGCCTTTTTCTTGAGTTCTCTCCCCAGCTGCCAGCTGATCTAAATTCTTCGATTCAGCTCCTGCTGCCTCTGTTGGATCAAGGAGAATATTTCTGAGGCTCTGGAGGGTCCTAAGTCCTTGGTCCCCTGCCTGAGTGCCTGGCTTGTGGCGTGGCTGGTTCCTATATTCCTAGCCCCCTGCATTGACCCCTCTGGGGGTACATCTGGCACTTGAGCGAAGAGGAGCCTCCAGAGTTCTCACGCTCTCCTTCCTTGGTACCTTGGGGTGGATTTTAACGTATTTGCTGTAGGAGGCTAAAATCTGGACTCTCCGGCTTCCTCATTCCACTGGCCGGTTGTGGAAGGGGCATAAGATGAGCTGGGACTGCCCCAGGCTTTGAGATCAGGAAAGTGCCCATGAAGAGCTCTGGAATAAACCTCTGGCGGGTCAGAGGGCGTTCGGCCCATTAGACGATCTGACTGCATAATTGAGGATTATGTTCACCCCTTGGAAAGGATCTGACCAGCTCTGAAGCAGTAAAACTAGACTCTGTGCTCAACATGGGTTGTCTTTTAGATGAAACTGTTCTCATGCTCCCACCCTCCCTTACTCGAATTTGGCCGATAACTGATGCTTGACGGGAAGCCCGATACCACCTCGCCACAGTACAGAACCTGATCCTGAAAGGTGCTGAGCCCCTGCAGTCCATATTGAAATCAATAAGGTGACTCAGGATGAAGCCCATAATGCATCTGACTGTTAGAGCAATGCTGTTTTTATATGGCTGAGTCTTTCCTGACCCATTCTGGTGGTCAGTTTTATGACCTGAAGCATGTGGATTGATAACTCTTACCCTAGCTAGTGTCAGTGCAGATTCATGCAGGTAACCTGGGTGAGATTAACAATTAGGCCCTGGATAGTTGAACTCCAAGCAGCCATTTGTGGAAACCTTTGCTTCCAGGTTTCAGATCATGCTGTGGCTGCACCTCTATCTCCTTCTGCCTGTGGTTAGCAGTGTTGATTTCCACACCCCTTGGTTCTATTGCAGCGAGCGGACGAAAAGTTACAATCTGTCCTTGCGTCTTCCAACCATCAGTGCAATTTCCTGGCGGCTTCCCTCCTCTCTTGTGGGGGTGGGGCAGGAGGACAGAGAGCTGATTTCCCTGCACCGTGCATGGGGAGATGGTGACAGTGAGGAGCTCTCCATGGAGACGACATCACCACCTTTATACTGGTGTATTAGTCAGTTCTGTTGCCTCGTGCAAACTGCAGGGCAAACAGCCTGTCTAGCTATGGTGGGGGAAGACCAGAAGAGAGACTGTCACGAAGTTCAAGGCCAGAAGGGACCTCCTGTCTATCACAGGCCACAGCCCCTCCACCCCACTAAACCCACCAACTGAGTTAGATCAAAGTATCACAGCCCACAGAAGACAAGGCTGTCATGTGCCACAGGCAGAGAATAAGGGGGATCAAGGCGCACTGATGCAGGAGTCCCCTGCAATGGCAGGCAAATGTTTGAGATACACCCATTCTTCCTGGCAAGTGGCCCTCACCCACACACTGCAGAGTAGGCAACCTGCCCTCCCCCCAGTCACTGCCAATCTAACCTGAGGGAAATTCCTTCCCGACTCCACATGTGGTGATCAGTTAGACCCTGAGCACGTGAGCAAGAACCAGCCAGCCACGCCCTTGAGAGACAGAATGCTCGGTGACACCTCTGAACCCTGGTCCTCCCCACTCAATGTCTCCTCTCCAGCCATGACAATCACTGATGCTTCAGAGGAAAGAGATTTTTAAAAAAAAAAAAAAAACCTCCCAGAATACACTGGGGAAAATCCCTTCCTGACCCCTGCGGGTGGCTGGCTGAAGCCCTGAAGCTTGAGCTTTGGTACATAAGATGCAAACGAGAGGCCGTTTGTGCATAATTAGGGCTGTCTATATGCATGTACTTACAAAGCCCCCACTGCACAGTACAGACTGCCTTACCATCTTGAATCAGCTTCACGCTATAGGAAGATATGGTGGAGCAGAGGCTCAAAGCCAGCTCTTCAACGTCCCAGGCTGCCTCCCTAACCACTGGGCCGTTCAAATTCTGCTGGCGGCGCTAGTTAATCTGAGTTCTGAGGTTGGGAAGAATGCGTCTGGCTCTTATCTCCCTCTGAGCTCAGCTGCAGAGAAATCCCTCTGCTCTTTCGGGCTGGGCTCCACACTGAGCCTGTTGGATCCTGAGAGAGTCTATTTTTGGAAGGTGGCTGTGTGTGGAGTGGGAGATAGAGCTGTGAGTGGCGTCTCATTGAGCTCCTAGATCATGCAGCTGTAATCCCCTGCCAAGGGAAGCCGTCTCAAGCCTGTGCCTATCCTTGTCTGATGAGGGTGTTTTCAGGGGTTTTAGCAATGACACTTGGCATGTCCTATCTTCAGTGCCTCTCCTCTGAGAGGGACGTGCCAGCCGTGTTTAAATTTGTGCTAGGCCAGAAAGAAGAGGCTTCTGGGCAAAGTCTTATTTGCATGACACACGAATTTTGTCAAGTCAGTAATGCTCATATGAAGATCTCCGGTATGATCAAGGTCGTGCCACGCAGCTTGCAATGCACCAGCAACAGTGTAGGCCAGGGATGTTTCTGAAGCTTACCTGTCATCCCACAGTTTCGCAGGACACTGTTTGTTGGTGTACTCCTCTTCCTCGCTCCCTCTTGGAGCTGGGCTTGGAGCATAGTTGCTCTGCTTTGCTCACGGCTAGCCCTGGTCCTGTGGACGGCAGC